CCCCTCCCGGCGCCGCTGGCGGAACGGCGTCAGCTCCAGGCGGTCCAGCTGCGGATGGGACGGGAGCTCAGCAAGACACCCGTTGCCACCAGCGCACCGCTGCGGTCCCCAAGGCTCCGTGGGGACCGGGAAGGGAGCCACAGCTGGGAGCTGGCAGCAGTGCCAGGGTTTGCCCGTGCACCAAGCGATGCCCCTGGGCTTCCCTGGTGCTGGCCCTGCCAACAGGCCTGCCAGGAAGGAGGACCCACGTGAGCGGGACCTCATGATGCCCCCGGGCGATTTGCAGGGGCCGAAGCGCAGCCAGGGAGCGGCGGGGCCTGACGGTGCTCGTCCCCCCACGGGAAGCTGCCCTGCCCTCCGCACTGACGGGACGGCAGCTTTTAGGGCACAGCAGACACCTCCGAACGAGCTGGCAGGAGGGCAAGGGCCTTTGGGACCCGCATGGCACAAATCTCAAAGCAAAGAGACAGGGGAGAGCAGGAGGCAAGGCTGAGAGGAGTCCCTGGGCTCCCAAGGGCAGGGAAATGGGAGCTGGGTCATGCACAAAGCACCAGCTCTTCTAGTAGAAACAGCCCTGGCACAAGCCCTGTGGAGGATTTTCCTCTGAGAGGGCTGGCAGAGGCTGCCCCTCGGCCACACTTTACCTTGGAGCCCATCTCTTCAATGAGCTTTTGTTGGATTTGGTGCCAGTCCTGCTCCTGTCCCGTGATCCTGTCCAGCAGGTCCTGAACCATTTTATTCAGGTGCTCCATGGTGGCATCAAACTGCGTGCGACTGACCTTGGCAGCCAGTGCGGCCCTGTCTGCTTTCTAGCAAAGAGGAAGGGGAGTGATGGAGAAGGGAAAATGGATGCGATGGAGAGGCAAAAAGGACAGGGTGGCATCGCAGAGCCTGAGTGCCAAAGGGACAGTGTGGATTTGTCACAGTTCCTATGACCACCTTGGCTTGTCCTTCTGCTGTCTTACCACATCCATTTCTGTCACCAGATCCTCCCTGTCTGCTTTCTCCTTTTCCAGTTTCTCCAGGGACAGGAAGAGAGCCTTTGAACACAGAAGACACTCAAAAACGAAGCCCAGCCACGGCCTTAGAGGGCCTAGGAGCATCTTCCGAGCAGACCCCGCCTGGAGGGGCTGACACCCCCCACCTCGATATCTTTCTGTTTCTGGCGACGGTCGTCCACGAGATCCCCCGTGACGGAGTTCAGCTTCTCGCAGTCCTCCTGCACCTGCAGGATGGTGGCCTGGATGTGCCTCAGAGCTTCCTCGTCCTGCTGCATGGGGGAGACAAGGACACAGGGCTGTGCCACGGGTGGGCAGGGCACGGGGCTCTGATCCCTGCGCATCGCCCAGCCCCCAGGATGGGATTTTTGTCCCTGGGTCACACAGCGGAGACCAGAGGCGCTGAAATCCGTAAGGGACCATGAAGGAAGCGGACACCAGCACCCAGCCTGCCCCTTGCAGCATCCAGCCTTGCCCGAGCCTGGGCTGCCCAGCACAGAGTTGCCACGTCCTTGGAGCACAAGGACACTCCCTGGGGTTCAGTTTCCCCAGATCTGGTCTTTGGGACCTGTCAGAGCGGCCCTGAGCCTGCCCGTGCTTTGTGTTCAGGGATTGGCGGTGCCGTTGAGCCCCTACATCTGCACCCAGCAATGCGGCTGGCTGCGGTGACACCAGGACACACTGTCCCCTACCTGGCTCCTCGCTGGAACATGCCTGGCTGCCTTGATGTCTGCCTGTCGCTCCAGGAAGGAGGAAACGAGGTGCTGGAGCTGCTCGTAGCGCTGGAAGAGCTGCCGGACCTGCTCGCTGACGTCCAGGCTGCAGGCCGGGCACGCGGCCTGCGCCGCCTCCCGCCGCGGCTCCGGGCTGGCCGGCACGCTCATGGACAGCAAGGCCGAAGACGAGGCCATCATGTTCTCCATGACGGACCTCAGCTTGTCCAGCTGGAGCAAGGGCACAGGGAAGGGATTTGAGACGGGATGGGATGATGGTGGCCAACGAGCCCAAGTGCTGCAGACCCTGGCAGGTTGAAGTAGGGACAGGGGAGGATGCTGAGGTGCCCCGCTGGGAACGCAGCCCTTCTGGTTCCCTGACCTGCTCCTGCAGGTGGTTGGCCACACCGGTCACCGACTGCTCCAGTTGGACTTTGGCCCCATCCTGCTTCTCCCTCAGCTCCTTCAGCTCCTTCTCTATCTCTTGCACCATAGACCTGGTCAGTGACACAGGGGCGGGATGAGCAGGGTCACACCAGAGCAGGGGGCACCCCATGTGTAGAAGCTCCTGGTTTCTTATACCTGAGACATTCCACCTGCAGGTGTATCTGGTTGGTGCCCTCGGCTTTCTGCTCGGTGCCTGCTCCCATCATCCTTTCAACGACCTTCTGCAGATGTTTGATCTGGGAAGGGTGTCAGGGCACAGAGTTCAGTCTGTGCTCTCCCCGCCATGGTGGCTTGTCACCCTCTTCCTGCTCTCAGGCCAGCAAACAGGGCTGCTGGTGACACCGCTGTCCCCTCACCTTTGCCTTTTCACTTTGTAGCTCTCTGGCCATGCTCTGCAGAGAGGCCACGCGGCGCAGGAGGTCATTCACGTCGCTGCGGCTGCTCTTCTGCTCTGCAGAGATGCGGCCTGAGGGAAGGTGCCACCAGTGAGGGGGTTTCTCTCAGCGCCAGCATGAGGCACTTCGGTTTTCCCAAACCACCACGGGAAAAACCCCACTGGCAGCAGAGGTGGCAGCAGAGCGATGGCAGGAGATGGGCAGAGGGCTGCCCAGAGCCT